AGTCGGTGTTATTATCAGCTAGCACAAAGCGTAGTAATATTTCGAAACCGACTTTCCTTGAACCTCGGTATCACTAATCAGTATGTATTCTTTCTTTGATGAGCTTGCACGAGGTTAAAAAGGGCATCAATGAGTAAGGATGCCTCATTCGGGGAGATGACTCACTGAAGAAGACCTGACTCGACACGAAGGCGAAGCTGCCACGTCGAGACGAACAACAAGCATGGAGCATCGACTCGGATCACCGGCTCTGAGGAAGACGAAGACGTCGAAACGTTAGCCGAAAATAAATATATTTATCAACCTCGTGCAAGCTTATCAAGAAAGAATACATATTGATTAGTCACACCGAGGTTTAGGGAAGGTCGGTTTCGAAATATTACTACGCTTTGTGCTAGCTGATAATACACCGACCTCTGGACGATGTGCGCAATGATGTATGTCCGGAAGAAATACAAGTTGTTACCGCCTGACATTGTCATTATATATCCACCATCAGCATCGTGTATAAAAGGGCATCACTGAGTGGGGATGCCTCATTCGAGAAGATGGCTCACTGAGGAAGATCTGGCTCGACACGAAGGCGAAGACGCAACGTCGAGGCGAACAACAAGCATGGACCATCGACTCGGATCACCGGCTCTGAGGAAGACGAAGATGTCGAAACGTTAGCCGAAAATAAATATATTTATCAACCTCGTGCAAGCTTATCAAGAAAGAATACATACTAATGAATATCATTATAATTTTTATAATGAACTCCATTATGAACCGATACACGCTTGCTTGGAATCGTAATTGTTGAATTGCTTTACTATGAGTCATATGCCTCTCATGTCGTCCAGAATCAGTCAGCCCAATTGTTTGTTTCATAAATCGAAAATGTTCATGCTACGGAACCACAACAACCAGATCGAAATCTGCGATCAGAATCTTGAGAAAAGTGAAAACGAGTACAAAATTTCAAACGACACAGGCAATCCGACCGTGACATTAGCTTTTTAAAAAGGGCCACTTTCGTAAAGTTGGTGTTGAATGAAATTACTAAACGGACTTGGTGTATCTAACAAGCAGTGTCAACTTTCTGTTTACTGCTCACTACAACGACAGGGTATTACGTGAAGTACAACCACAATGATGTTGAGATATTTGCAAAACTCCGGACCGCAGGTGTCTGCGGTGGAGAACGAACGCGCTACTACCATTTTCGCGGGCTAACGCGTTAACCACCATATCATGCGGGTCCTTCGTTTCGCATATCTCTCAGTTAGTTTTCAACCTACCAGTGTCATCAGCAATCACCCGTAAATGGGATTGATCTGGTGAGCACAAATCGCCATTGAGCGCAGTTAACCTGTAGTCGAAATCACAATATCAATTTTTTATTTACTGATGGCACTGGTAGGTAGAGAATTAGCTGAGAGAGAGGCGAAACGAAGGACTCGCATGGTGTGCTGGTCAACGCATTAGCCTCCGTAAAGGGTAATGGCGTGTTCGATTACCACCTCAGACACCTGCGGTCAGGAATTTTGCAAATATCTCATAGTGGTTACACAATTTGAATAGCCACAGCGTGAAAAGTGGAGACGGCCATACCAACACATTCACAACCACAAGAAGCGCTGCCCACGTATTGACTTCAATGCGTTTTCTTTCCTATTGCTTCTTTTGCTACACAAACTTCCTTTTGCTTTGCATCGATTAATTTCTCTACTCTAGACGTTTCACATGTTGTGATTGATGTGATAAAGTCCTTCTGTACATTACAATTTACCAGCTCACAAAGGTATACATACAGTCTTATCATGAGTGGAGTGCGTTCTGGATGTCTAATTGTGATTTACAGCTTAGCTTAATGTTATAAGCAGGATCCTTCAAGTTGGGAAGCAGTTCACCATTTTCATTCGGTCGTCCAGCTAAGAGCAAATCTACACCACGGCAGACCCCAATTGCTTCTGGGTATCTTCTCATCGGAAACAGTACAAAGCGCACAATACCAAGAGTGTGTCTTTTGAACAAATGGGTCTTACGGGGCATCCACGGTGTATGATGGAGTTCGATGGGGTTCATTGAGACCCGCGCGAGTTACGTGGTGATTAAACGAGTCACAGATGATCAAGGTATCATAATCCATAAGAAAGTTTTCGAAAACATACTGCTCTTCCAAGGCGCTCCCTTACTCACTGTAGGGATAAAAGCCCATGGGTAGCTACCAATTAGAACGGTAATGGGATACCAGCGTTTTTAGAGTCTTCCGGATCGTACGAGTCGGGTTAAATGCACGCAGGGTGCTGCAGAAAATCAGTAGTCCCATACGTCAACAAGTAAAACTAGGTGTCACCGCGAATGTGACAGACCGATGAGCTTCGTTTCCGTATTGATAAGCTTGCCAACTAGTTCCAATCCATAGATTCAGGGTGGTCTCCTCCCAGTGGAAAAGGAAGAGAAGTGCTTCAGCATACAGAAGCGCAGTGCCTTGCGTTAATATCGCCAACATATGTCAATACCAATACCATGTTCGCCACTCGTCGAACTTGCTTCAAAGGTCCAGGGATCTATGCGGTAATCATGAGTGAGAACTGCATTGCTCTAGAGCACTGAAAGGTTCTAAGAGTCTCCGAGTACGATCAGCCAGATTGCCTACTTGACTTCATCTCATAGCAGTCAGAACCAGAACTGGCATTTTTGACATAAGTGTTCGTGCTTACAGAAACGTATGGCGAGATAGACGGACAAGAGCAGTAGAAGAACACCAAACCACATCATGATCTCCCACATCTCGTGGATTTCATTCGGAAACCAGACCACACGAATGGGTTCAGGATTGAGAGCCCGACTAAACACGGGTCGTCGACAGCACACGGTCTGCCACGGCACCACATGCGTTCCAACGCGCGTTATACGAGCACCGGCTGTGCGCCCAGTAGTTACTGGCACATCTTTCGTGAGTTCACTGATGTTCTCTGTTGCGTTACTGCAAAAGCTTCACTTCATAGGGAACCGATGTCATTTTACACGGTGGGGATTGTTTTCCGAATTAAGGGGTGGATTCATTTCTGGTGGAAAACGGTAAAAAGTGGGTCTCCGTCGCGAAAGTAGTGCTGTTGATCGCTAGCTAGCCCTTGCTTCTAGCAGATGCTTAGAGGTGCCTTCAGCTCTTCAGTTCTTCCCAGTTCTTAAATTCCTCTCAGAAAGTTTGTTATCATGTGATATTAATGTTATAAGAATGTTTCAGAGGTTTGAAGAGAGAATCAGTGACACCGTATTCCTCATTCTTTCTATGGTAGTCTTGAATATTTAGCGAATTTTTCAGTACAAAGTTGGTTTGATTCGGATTCGTTTGGGTAATGCAGCGCGCCGTCGGTAAAGGAGTTTCAGTGAGTTTTCATTTTTTCCTTATTTTGTTTTGTTCTGTGATTATTTTATAAGTGATCAGCCTTACTATGTAGCTCCATAAGATAAAAATCATCATTAGAGGCCATTAATGATCTACAGCATATTCTTAGCTTAAATTCTTCCATTCCTCCTAGTTTATCATGTAGCAGTGTATTCCACCATGCTGATTTCACGGATCCACATTAGTCGGTTATTGGTTTATTCCTTACTCGGCTGTGCTTAGGGTATCTCTGTGTTCATTCTTCGCATGCTGATCTTCATGTTGACGTACATTTTTGTCACAGCTGGATTTCTATCGTTGTCTGCCTAAGTAAATTCGGGATCGGATGGTTTCCGACCTGGGCGCAAATCAGTCTCTGGTCTCGTCGCTATTCTAGCAGCTTCTCAAAAATCAGTCTCCTTTTCTAACAAGCTGTAGTACCTTGACGGGCAAGTGGATCATTCTGATCAAGTAGAATAACTCCTTGTTTTTGTCACCGCTTCCCATTATCTAGTTTAGTTGCCGTGGAAGGTTACGATGCTGCAAATTTTGCAATGTTATGAGCCAGGATCCACCACCATCCTGGTACCAAACTAGTCGCATGCTGGCAAATCTCCCTCTAATCCACAAGGGCGGCGACTGCCTTTGGTGGTGACGACTTGGTCCAAATATTGGCCAGTTTGATCTCGGGACTCCAGGGAAACACAATGGCTAAACCAACAGAACTACGAAAAAGTGGAAATTATGCTGGGGCCCACACAACCAGTGACATGTCATCCAAGTATCCGAGTATCTTACTCATTTAGCACTCGTGTAATGCAGAGCTTTCAAATTCGTTTCTGTGGAGACTTATTTCTCCAGATCATTCTAGTGATGTCCACAGATCTTGCAGACGCGTCTAGGGACTTTCGATATTTTAATGCTGGTGCGACATTGTGACTACAAAATGACGTCTGCACTTAGAGTCAAGGTAAAACGATAACTCGATAAGTGTATGTCTTGGAGTCGCATACAGATATAGTCCTCCGATTTGTTCAAAGTTCATTCGACGGTGCTTGCACTTCACCAGTTCAGACAACTGCCATTTTTGCAATGATTCACGTCGTCCTGCTGGGAATGGCATTTTGCGGAATTTTGTCAAGGGTCATCAAATCATGCATCGTATCTTCTGTTGCTTCGGTCACAAATTTGAACCCATTCCTTGAAATGCCTAACATATCCCAGATCCAATATATTTCCGACATTTTTTACAGTACAACCGCAACGATGCTGAGATATTCGCAAAACTTTGACCCAGGGCCAGATCGAACTATCTTTTTGAGAGCTGCCATATTACACAGTGCATCTCAGAGGCTTTGCTTTGCGTTTCTCTCTTATGGTCTTCATGATATATGAAAGGAGTTGAGTATAAGATGTTTTTCAGTATGCCATGCCTTTGTTATATAGGGGTAGCTATCCTTCTTGATCACCTTGGCTGTACTTTGCTTACTCACTGCTTTATTCAGAATTTTTAAATTGTTTACAAACATATTGCAATTTCTCAAACTTGAAATACATTTACCACTCGAATAATTATTCCCGTTTCGTTATTGAGGGGCTTCACCACGCAGCCATGTTGCTTACAAAGTAGTTTTAGCCTCGTTCCAAATTGGATCGATTTGTAACACAACTAATTTGAGTCTTCTGAACTTCTTTTCTTCATCGTTATGTTTGACCTATCAGTGTATTTCTATCACAGAAAGAGAAACTAACACAGAAGTTCATTTACTTCTTTTTTCTATTTCTCATTTGAATGGGTCGAAAACTGCTTCGTCAAGTGCTTTAATTCTTTTCGCAGCCGTACTTCATACGCAGTGCAACGTTACCAATGACATTCTTTCCACTCCACATGCCTGTTCTGTTCGTTTATGCTCTCCTTGGTTCTGCATTTGCAACAAGAAGATTGAGCAGTTAATTCAGGCGTAACCATTTTGCTCTCTTTGTTTTCTCTTATTGAGTAGTCGATTTGCTTCCTCGATCAGTACCACTTTACGAGACAACGTTGATTTTTGTTTTGACGATTTGACAGCAACCATGCTTACTTCTACGAGTACATGAATGCATACGGATGCTTTCGTTATCTCTAAACCCATACACCAATACCCTTGGTGCTAGCGTGGGCTGTCTGGTTTCCCATTTCTTCTTATGCTTATATATTCCCATTAGAATCTCCTCCAATCTTCTTCCAATTTTGATCGAGATGTACTCGTCCAGAATTAATGCTGTGACTGGTTAGATCATCAACGTTGTAAAGCATGGATTCATACGAAAATCTGTCGATTTAAGCGTTGTGTATCGGTGGCAGGTTGTCCTCGAGCACCTTCCGTCACCATTTTAATTATAACAAGTCTCTGTGAAGTGCAACCACAATAATGATTAAGTATGAGCAAAACTATGAACTCCAGGTGAACTTCGTTCCGATAGTACCCCTACTAGGGGCTGACATGCTATCGACCACCAACCGAAGCCCTGGCTTTTCCTTCTTCTCAGCCGGTTTTTTATCCTAACAATACCCGTCAACAGATGATGATCTAGATAGCACAAATCGGCGTTGAACCCAGTTAAGCTGAGGCTGCAGTCGAAATCGCAATACTTAATCATCTACTTAATCATACTTAATCTAAGAACCTTTATTTACTGCCTATTTGTTTTTCGTGGCGAGCACAATGTAAACCACTGGGTAAAAAAATAAAATAGGGCAAAAAACTCTTAGAGGAAAGCAAAGTAAGTCTTAATGTTCACCGTTTGTAGCTGAACTCAAGCGTTTTCAACATATTCACTTAGGACAGTTCTCCAATTTTTTACTCCTCCCATAGTTTTAGTATATGTGTAAAGCAGAAGTTTCTCCGTGTTCTGAGCGTCCTTTTAGCGCCTACACTCAACGAGCACAGGTAGCCATTGCTTACTGAGCACTTCCTGCAGATATATTTAAACTCATGACGTATTGTATTGCTGTTTAAAAGGACTAAATGTCGTTGGTTTCGTTCACACGTCACCCGGTTTACAACGTGTTCATTGTGAAGGCCCGCGTGTTACTTTATCCTGACCACATCATACTCAGTCTTTCGCGACTGTGACTGAGGAGTTTTATAACGTTATGATATGTTCAGAGTTTCTTATTTATTCTTTCGTTTAAGCGCTTCGGCGCGCTCACTACGGGTCTCACTGTCGCTGGAGGTGCTTTAATTTATTCGCTGGAGAATTCGGTTCATGCGAGCAACGATGTTGTACATCCATATCATTTACCGTGGCCGCATCGTGGGACCTTTTCTTCGTTCGATATTGCTTCGTATGTTTTTTTTTCGAGTAAAATTTAATGCTAGTTTCCAAATTGGGTGACCTTACCACACTTGGAGTAATCTTTTCTAGCGACTTATTACCTACTAGAGGGGTTGGTGTTACCTTAACAGTGCAATCAAAGTTTCTACCATTTCGGTTAATTTCAGTTTGTGTTCATAATTTCGTAGACGTGTTGTTAGAATTTCAGAGTTCGGCGTGGATACGAGGTTTATAAGCAAGTATGTGCGGCATGTCATTCAATGAAATACATTTACTACAGACATTTCGTCAACACTATTATGACTGAAGTAAGTTTTTAAATAGTAACAGTTTATATCACTAAGGATTTCCCACTAGTAATATATGTTTCTTGGTTCAGATTATAAGTTTTCTCTTTGTTACTTTTTTTCAAGTTTTATTCATGCTGTTATCATCTCTGTCACCGAATGCTGTAGAATTGAAAATCAACGAAAAAAAACGTGTAAAAGACCCGTGGAGGTCCAGATAGACATGTCGCGAAGACAAAACGGCGAGCTTGCTATTGCTAGCTTCTCCCCAAAGATAATAAAAAAGCGCTTCATACAAAAGCGTGTAGCTTTTCTTGTGCTTCAAGGAAAACTGACCAAGCAGCTGTGGTATGTGGGAAGACCAGCGGGTGTTTTATTCGTGCTGGCTTCAATCAGTCAACGTTCAACAGAATATTGCAGTGATATGGCATAAATAACAGCTACACATGTTGATTCAATGAAGTTTTCAATTTTCACACCATTATCTTTTACTGTTTTCAGATTCTTGTAGTTTTAGGAGGAAGCGAAGGCTGAAGCTGCGGACGCGTTGATCTCAGATGTTGACGACAAAGGAGCGCCGATTAAGCGACCTGGAATCCTTACGGACAAGTTGCCAAATCCTTATCCCAACAAGAAAGCTGCTGCTGCCGCTAACAATGGTGAATAAAGAAAAGATTCCTGCATGTACTACAATGGGGACTAGGTATACCCATGTTGGGGCTTGTTTGTTGGAGGTAATTCTGGTTCACCTTCCTTTTACTCCTTAGTCACTACATTACGAGATTTTGGCTGCAGTAATGTAGAGGATATTATCTGCAAGCACCCCAGTGACATATTTATAACCATGTTTACGTCTATGGGGAAGGAAAAAGTCATGAGGGAGATTCGCGGCTATTGCCTTGAAGAATGCAAATTACTACTTTCGTTTAGTGAATTTCATACTCTCAGGAGCTGCACCACCCGATTTATCACTCATGGCGCTAGCTAGACACGGAGGTGACGACTACATATTCTCATTGCTGACAGGCTACTTTGAGGCTCCCGCCGGCATTAAGGTGTGACCTCTACAATGATTAATTCGACATTTGAATCTTTAAAGTTAATTTTAGGCCATTTACACTTTCACCTATGGCGTGCTAAATTTTGAGCGTTTAGATTGACGAAGGTAAAGCATACAATCCATACTTTCCTGGTGGAGTAATTTCGATGCCTCAGCAACTGTTCGACGAAGGAATCGAGTACAAAGTGAGATTACCTATCCTATGCCTTTGAATCTATCTAATTTTGGTTGCATTGCCGAATATTCTGGCATTCACATAACCTTTTAGATATATCCCAAGAAGACGTAAATACGTATCATTATGTCACTTAACATTAGCAGACGTTGTTTTAATGTTAAAGAAGGGTTGATTGTTCAAAAATATGTTCAAGGTATAACACGAAGCGCAAACTTTCCACTGCATCACATGTCAAATTTTATATAATGCGGACTTATAGTAGTCAAAGTGATGGTCTCATGTTCATGTTTCTTCTTTTACCAGCTTTCTCCAAATGTACATCCAAGCATAGTGAACTGCCACAGTACTGTTTTTGATAGTTCACCGCTAACTATTGAAGGATGGGACACCAGCCACTCAGTCACAACAAGCAAAAGACATTGCAACGTTCATGCACTGGTGTGCGGAACCATACCATGATACTAGAAAAAGATGGGCATTAAAGGTGAGCTTGAACTGGTTCCGTTTCATTCCTTTTTATTTTTGTAATCTTCACTGAAAATTGAGGATATTTAAACGCTTTTCATACTTGTTGTGACGGACTTGAATAATTTTATTTATTCTACTCACTATAATTCTATTCCCCAAATGGACTTTTTCTTTTTCGAAATCCCAGAGAGCGGTAAAGAATTTTGATGTGGATACCATCGACATTGTGAAACAATGACCACTTTTTAGTTCAGTTGTCATCGTGAAGTCATGATATGTAAAAGCCAGGGAGAAGAAGTTGTCCGAACTGTTTGCTCTTATACTTACAACACTCAGATTGAAGCTTTCTCCTGTTGTCTCCCTCCCCTATCTCTCCATATTGGATTGGATGCAGCAATCTCTCGTCTAGGGTCGAGAGTATCCTATAAGGTTCCATTTGATAAAGATGCACAAAGAGTATCACAGTTGCTTAGGACCTTCGTGAAGAAGTCAAACCATCAGGTCAGTTAGTGGTGCTGCTGTCGTATGAAGGAGGACAACCAACAACCCACTTTTATTATGCGACAATTTTCCAGATGTTATACCCGTTTTCTGTCCGCATCGTGCGTACAATTCGTTATTTACAGCATTCCTCTCTCGACAGTATGGGCGATAACTCTGATCACACATTTGTCAAATTAATGTCCCCTAAATTGCGATTGAATGGAGGAGTATGTAGGATGTGACTTCTTGTGTTCACGTACTCCTTTCCACTTGTATTCTTCAACAAAACCTGGGTGGCGCATGATATTAAATAGTACTGTTTCCTATATATATCTGTAGTGTAGTGCACCCTCTTAAATCATTTTGTGTACCAATTACGACGTACAGAGGCAACTTGCTGATTTACGTAGTAGCAGAATATGCTGTGTGGGCATGATGATGTGATTTTTGTTGCTATTATCATTATTGTTAATCAACACCAGCCTTCTTATAGTGTTTCTACACCGTTATCCACCGGTTAATTTAGATCATTGCACTGTCTCCATTCGTGGGAGCCGTTCTGATTTATGGCAAGCGATATATTTGGACATTCAAGAAATCCCAGAAGTTTATTTGGACAACGGTTAAAGGACGAGAGCCTCCAACAAGTTCGTGAACTCCAATAAATGCTCAGTATTGCCAAATAACTCTACTGTCGATAATTGTTTCACACTTTGAAAATTAGTAACGTACATTTGAAATTCGTGCACATTTTCTATCGTGTGTTGCGATTCATAGGATATTTGGCGGACCGTTATTGTTTTATTAGAGTCTTTACGATGTTTCTGTTTAGGATCTTTATTGAAATCCGTCACAAAAGTGTTATAGAAATTAGGTTGAATAAAACTGTTTTTGAGGGAACTCTGTAGGTACTGGGAATTCTAGAAAATTCGTGTTCCATGGCACGCAATTCTATTTGGAAATGGCGTTGTGGAACCCGTGGTTGTGCATGCAAGTAAAGAAAGCAGAAGAGTTTAGACAGAATTCTCTAAAGACGGGAAAGGTTCCATCTGTAGCATTGAAATTTGCATGGTAGAAAGACGGAATACAAAATTTTGCATCCATATCTATATAAACAAGTGTGTAAACCAGTATTACGCTTATTGAACAAAAGTTATAAGTTACTCCCAACTATCTATGAATCGATGAAGAACCAATGTAAGACTGCGGGAACGCAATAGCGGTGGTCACTCTCCCAGGGAGTTCTCTTCCATATGGCGCAGCGTTTGTGCTATTGTCTTGCGGAATAGATGATGCCCATTAAGGTAAGCTGTCACGTGCCCCATTCGTTCCATCTTAATAACACACATTCCTGGCCAGATTTGCTGCAATATCAACTTTATGTAAATGGTCAGCTTGTACGAGCATTTAAAGAACACATGAACATAGAAGTATTTCCTCTTGAAACCAAAAAAGAGCCTTGTAACACTTACTGCAAAATCCAGAGCTCCATGTGGTCGCAATACATATGCGTCATGTTCAGCCACAATAGCTGTACATAATGAAGTATCCAATGGAATAGGGTAGTTCGCAAGGCATGTAAACTCATTCATCAAAGTACACATCATATTGTGTGCCAGTCCAAGACTGTTCACTTTGTTTCGCTCGTACTGGAATTCAGGCATAAAAATTCGAGCGGCGTTAAATCACAAGAACATCGTCACCATCTCATCAACCCAGTTCACGTTCGGTATGCTACGCAGCTTATCCAGGTATAATCGGTCTTCAAGTTGTTGTTGAAGTTGCCCATAGTTAATTGCATCTCGTAGGGCTCCTATAACACAGGCTACGGAGTGATGTATTCAAATACGTTACCCACCGATGGAAGGTTTTAACGAAAACCTTCAGTAAATGCTGGTGCGGCTGTTGTCCATGACATGCAAGGAACGACACCAATCGGTATACAAACGTTCGTCGCAGCCAGTGATGCCATAAAGCCGCCCATTGACACCTAAGTTATAGAAGAAACCTCATTGATTCGATATGATCTGAATAGGTGGCAAATAACATACTCCAGACAAAGCCATTGGTCCATAACCCTCAGATATCGCCCAACTGATAAGATAATTACATTCGGAGATGAGCGCCGCTCCCATAACAAACAAATCTGACACGTTTTCCAATGAGGATCGAAACTGCGACATCGGTTTTCGATCAGCATAAAACGGATTTTGCACGAGGACTGACCCGATGCCCTCTTCAAGTAGTCCTTTTACGAATCCAAGCTCTCGCCTGTAGAACGAAATTTTACAAGATAATTACACATTGTCCAAAGTTCTTGTAACTGTAGGATTTTAATATCAACGCTGGTTTTCTCAGTAGTCTACAATGCACTCTGTCTACACAACCATCCAGCTGACATAGGGTTTCGACCAATTTCTATGTAAGAAAACGTCGAAAATGGAGTTCTCTGGATTGGAGATGATGTTGATGACGTATTAAGTAGCGATTGTAATTTGAAATCAGAACACTTTTCTAAGGATAAATACCTTAGAGAAGACTTTGGCCAGGCTGTCCTCGGGACTACAGGGAGTGACAATGGCTAAACCAGCAAATCTCCGAAGAATAGAAATTATGCGGGAGCCCGCACAATCAGTAGTGACAAGCCATCCAAGTATCCAAGTATTACGCCTACATAGTAGTAGAGTATAGTACTACAAAGCTTCACATCATGAAATTTATGCTCCGTATGCCATCTCGTGTGTATTTTGTGATATTTCCTTAGGGCTTTCAACTCTAATACTGGGTGTAGTACTGCAGCAAGGTGTCAAATGTCGGGATCCGACATATCATACTTGACTGAAGCACGCGTGCACCAAATTGGCCATGTACACGATCGTGCGTTGTATCAAAACTACCAAAGTAATAATGAACGACTTAATATGTACCAGTACTACTCGTACCTGATATAAGAATGATCACCAGTACCCGCTAGATGGATGCATACTCCTTTTCGTGCAGTATTTGGCAAATACGCTCGCCAGCGAGCCCACTGAAGACAACCCGGCAATTGGTTCGGGAACATTATCGCATGAGGACTCCGAAATCGGCCATCGAGCACTCGTACACCTTGCACGACATGTTCCTAGAAATTTCGAAGCTCCCTGTATGATATTATCACTATCTATATAACTGTTGGTCTACTTATGCCTTCGTCAGTCCCATTGTGTGCAAACTGCCAATGAGCTTTACTCGATAAGAGATACGAAAAGCATCATATATTTTTCACAACTTTTTTGCACAAATCTTCTTAAGATCACATAAATAAATATATCAACTATCTATGCCGAGGTTTATAGAAAGTCGGTCTTTCGAGTTTTTTGCACAAAGTTCCTTGTTTTTTGCTTTTCCTGGTACTTCAGCGCTAGATGAGTTGAAGACTACCGCGAACACCTTTCCGCGTATTCTCCAGAATTTGGCTGAACTCACGCACGTTGTAGTCATAGCACATACATCTATGCACGAATGCTCGAATTTGATTATATGTAAATGGAAAGTTCACACACTGCGTCTCATGATAAGTACATGGTTAACATCGATCTGCTTTTAGTCCCCTATCCACCTGGGAAGTGTCTCGTAGCCGCGTTAGAAATCGGCTCTAGATCCCTGACACGACTCCGTGGAATATCATCCATTAACATAATATACCATCCCAACGGTTTACCGCCTCGTCATACCTAGGAAGTGTTCCGGGCTGCGATGTACAGTTGGGAGTTCATTCCCCGGCAGGGCCATACCAGTTGAGGAGTCCGGCGTTTCCATGAGAAAAGTCAGTTAAGAGTAAACCAATACCAGGATCCACTCATGAAGGGAAATCTCCCTCCGATCCACAAGGTTGGCGACTGCTTATAGTGGTAACGATCTGGGGCAGACTTTGGATAGGCTGACTTCGGGACTCCAGGGAATCACAATGGGTAAACCAGCAAATCTCCGGAGGTTATAAATTATGCTGGAGCCCGCACAATCAGTGATGACGAGCCATCCAAGTATCCAAGTAAGCAACATATTGTACAGTCCCTCTGTAAACCAGCAAAGAAGACAGGTAGGTAATATACATGGATCGGATTTTCAAGGATGCAAATTTCAAAAATCACCTGACCCGTTAACAATTCCAAGCCATCTAGATGTATCGAGGGGTATTAGCTTAGCATTGTTAATTCTCTTCCAAATGCCAGACTAACCTTTTCTATGATCATATCCACTTTCATCGATTTAATGCACTGTTCTACCCGGCGCTGAGACATCACATCCCGTTTATGCTTTACCAATCTGAAACACAAAAGACCAAAGTATATTTGAAAACAGATGATTTACCTTCTCATCTAAGTGAACTGAAATTTTTTCGCTGTTTTTTCTTTGTAGCGCCTGTGTTCATAATTCAATAAAAAATGCATGAGAAGAACAGAAGTATTAAAATAAGTAGAAATACTTTACAATTTGTCCACTGTTCTCAAAATATATTTTCATGGGAGGATTTGATGTGAAGTACAAGCACAAGGATACCGGTACAGCACAAGAATCTCGGTTGGTGTGGTGCACAGCACATGGCCTCCTGATTAGGTTAGTCGCTGGTTCGAAGCTTTACTATGGTTCCGAGTTTTGCTCATATCGCAGTATCCTTGTAGTTGTACTTCACATCATGTCCTGTCATGAAAAAAGTAAGCAATAGATAAGAAGTCAACATGTTTTTTCGTCTACTTTGTATTTTCAAGCCTATGTAATATGTTGTTCACCCACTCTTTAAACGTGTCCGGATGGCCCCAGTTCTTCGTGAAAAGTCTGCTGAATATCAGAGCTCTTCGCAGGAGCACGTCCACGTCGACGGCTAGCGAGGAACTGGCACCTAGGATGCCGGCCACTGTTGTACTCGCCAGCCAGTCGCCCAATCGACTCAAACTCATGCAGCAGATGGTAAGTTATGACTTAAGGATATGTTATTCTTTCATAGTTTACTAGACATATTCCGCATGAAAACAGTTGTGGAAAAAGAAACCTGATCATAAAATTGAACTAACCTCTAGTCAACGGTCAAGTACTTCATAAAACAATGGTGTTTAGCACGGCCACCGTTAAAAAGTAGCTGGAAAATCGAGTACATATCAAGTAAACTTGTGCTTAACGCTAGTTCTTTTAATCATCGTTCTTTAGTATACATCAAAACGTTGGAGTTCTCCTCGGATTCGTTCGCTTTCAGCACTTCAATCCATGGGAAATACCATGATGTTATACTAAAGAACCTCAATGATTAAAAGAACCAACGTTAAGCACAAGTCTATTTCATCCCTACACACCATATATATGCAGGAGGAATGCATAAAGTGAATCGCTCTGCTTCCGAATACATATCACTCAGATATATTTTTCCACGTGTCACAGACGATCGGATAAAATGAATGGTTAATTGCAGCCCCTCAGGGTGCAAAAATTTTGAATTATTAAGCTCCAAACGAGGACAACATTTCCTTTAGTATTTCTGATGCGAGGAAAAAAAATATCAGAAGGAAAACCTTTGTGGAAGGAATTTTTGGTAAAATTTCCACTGCACTTCCAACAGATAGCTGTTCTTCATTTTATGTTTGATCATGTCCACTGAAACAAAGACTGACGACCTAGGGTATCAAGAACCTTATCGTCAGAGTGTCGGATTTCGAGGAGAACCTCCCGAGAAGCCTTCCCGTTAGGGACTTCGTTGAGCAAACTGCTGTTGCTAAACTGCAAACAGTTTATGCAGAAATGCAGCGGAACCAGGTAAATTAGCAGCCGACTTTATGTGAGCACAAGTAATTCCAGTTTCTTTTTGCAGGAACACTTTGACGTCATAATAGCTTGTGACACGGTAATTTACTTCGATGGGGAAATTGTTGGTAAGCCGGTCGATGCAGAAGACGCCTTTGTAACATTGAAAAGGTGAGCCAGAGCAAAGTTACTTTACTCTAATCGCAAAGGTCATAAATGATCTTAGGCTGAATGTAGCAATCTTAGGCTTCGTGGGCGAGAACATGCTGTGTATTCCGGCGTTGCTATGGCGTATGCTGACGGTGATGAAGAGGTTTTCAGTGAGAAGACACGCGTGGAATTTGGAGCGTACCCAGACCGAATAATCAAACAGTACGTTGAGAGCGGCGAACCTCTGTGAGTACAAATGCGACATCGTAAATCGGAATTGTCGCGATTTTTCATAGATATTCAATGTTCGGGGGCCATCTAGCACTTTAGGGGCGCGACAGGGTAAACGAAGACTTAATAGACAACCGAACAACTCAGCTGATGGATAACATACTTGTGGTACAGATGGTCGACACAGCTGCTGTACCTCACCGTTATCAGATCTTTCTGCACATAATACTCTAGAACGGAATGGGGTGGATAGCACAGTGGCAGTGATATCGCTCAACACGAGGATGGTGCTAATTCGATTCTGTCCCAGGCTAACCAAGCCTCTCATCCCTCCGGGGTCAGGAAATTGGTACCGGACGTGTCCGGGAAAAAATCACTCTCTGCAATCCAAATGGGAACGCTCTAGCACGGCTATCTCACTTCATGAAGAATCGACTCGACCAGCAGTCAACGACATTTAAAGTGGAGTGAACGTCCTCAAGCAGTAGCGGAAGCCACACGTGAAAAATTGGAAGATCTTTGTGGATGGTGGATGCGAAGAAGCGAATCTAATGTGAGAAGTGCTGAGATCCTCACAGTACACTTGAAGACGGGTCATATGAGAGATAAAAGGTAAAAAAAAATATTTGGAAACTATGCAGTGAACTCTTGTGAAAAAGTGGCGAAGCCATGCCAACATCTATGTTCCAGGAGATGTGCGGGCTCGTACGCTATCCAGGGATACGGGGCGGTGTTCGTACAGGCGGTTCACGGATGCTTCAACAATGTGATTGGCTTGCCGATTTACAGAATTCACAATGCCTTGATGGCAAAGGGAATATTATAGATCCCCTATTGGTCATGCTAGTCACGTCACCTGTTATTTCCTTTTTGTTAGGAATTAAGGATAAACAACCGTACACCAGCACAATTTTATGACAAAAGCTGCACTTGCGGATGGGTGGCGTAAGAAGAAATGTACGACCGTAATTACGTACTTTAGCAGTTTATCCCCACTATAATTTCTCTTTTCAAATGTTGTCTTAACAAAACACGCTGATGGCACGTAGACCACTAGTGGCAGGCATTCTGGAGTTTTCAACATAGTGAATCTTCATATATGAGACTTCAATTTCAAATAGTATTACAACGTAGTACATCACAATGAGTTATTATACGATATGCCAACAAATTCCGTGATGATCTAGAACATACGAAGAACAGAGGATACACTACTCTGACCAACAGTCGTTGATAAATTAGATGAACAGCAAGTGGTGAATGACAGTACCAGAGAAGGGAGGTATGTTCCCTGTACTAATCGTTTCACTGACGATCTTATGAAGAACAGATCTGCGCTTTGACTCAATGGGAAAATACAATATGATTCTCTCTAATAATATGTACACTGTGAATGACTAGAAGAGCAACGTGAACAGGAAAAGTGAATCACAGAAAAAACGGATAGAACCACTAGCACTTCTGATCTGCAGTCTAAACATAGGAATGACCCTAGTAAAAGCGTTTGTGGCAACAGGTACGAAAGCGTTATGATGCAAAGAATCTGAATAAATACGTTATACAATCTGTAACAACTTTTTGGGTACATCAACCGCAATAAAAGTACAAAAAACTAGAAAGATAGAGCTTTTAGATGCAAACAAATATAAACAGCGATTCAACTGTACTCAAATATGTGAGGAGAAAACGTCAAGAACAGAAAAATGAAAAAAATCGTCAACACTGGAACCAATTACGACGAGTCAGATCCACGGGTTTCACGTATCGTTCCCGCGGGAGGAACACGAAAGCTCATCAGATCCGGCGAAGTCATTCTCAACGAAGTGGGACGATTAGTCTCCATCACCTGTTCCTCACGAACAGTCTCGAATGGGGTTGCTCTTGAAAATGAAGCGATCAATTTGAACATTTGAAAATTTATCCGGTCATTTTCATTCTCCCCAAATTGATACCAAATATCAAATCCCCTAACTGGACCCCTAAAATTGGTCGATCTCTCACTTTGTAAAGCAGTCAGTAATAATGCACGACTGGACTTTTCATTTACCTATTTGAAGCTCCAGAGCAGTCTAGGTGGCTTCCCTCACCCGGAAAGCAAGATGAGCAATGACATTTTTGTGGGGCTTTTCTCTTCATGTCCCCTCATAAGACCCTTTATTTTCACTGTTTTCGGCAAGAAAGTACACATGGTTAGCTCGCCAGTCTCAGTTGTAGAGGAGAGTTATACTCATGGCTAGCTTGGTGTTCTTTTTGCGAACTGTTTAACGTGACGCCGATCTTCTTTTTAAGTACCTCACAGTGATTTGATTGCACGTTCGTGGCTGTATCGACGCAAGACACAATACAATCCGCATTACGATTCACTCACGTACGCCTAAATATAACCACTTGCTGTCCAAAGAATATATAAGGGGATCCGATGCAACAGAAACAGGAAGCCTATCTCCTGAATGCACCAATCTTCCAGGGCAATTCCACGGCCGTCAGAGAGAGAAATCTCATCCCCTGAACGCACCTGTCTCCCAGGGCCATTACATGGTCGTTCTGCTACGCATTTAAATCCCTATCCGATACTAGCGGGCGCGCCACGTAGACGCGATGAACCGACTCGAGATCCATCACATGAAGATCCTTGGGAACCTAATGACAACTGAAGAAAAATTGAGAGCATCACACATCACATCCTTCAATCGCTGAAATGGACGTGAGAATTTACAGACACTGAACTTGGTAAGTAAGGACAGCACACACCAGAAAACTTGCCGTTTTGAAGCTTTGTTGTTTTCCTCTTTTTCTCCACTTTGTCGCTTCAAGCCACGTCGCTTCATCAGTGGTGCTGCATCAACATCCATCAAGTAGAAACCATCACGATTTGCGGTGAGGAACGCTTGCAACGTTTCGTTAAACGTTTCTCCTAGAAAATATCGTATTATATGCCTAAGCCGAATGAAACATAATTAGGTTAGGAGATTAGAGACTCCCAAAGATATTCTGTGCGTACCAGCAAACGAAGGAAGAACGCTGGGTGTTTGTAGCGGTGTCTCCAAAGACGCAGCTGAATTCAGCCAAACATGCTGCGATAGCTCCTGCATGGATAATCGCTTTTTCGGATCCACGGTTAACAACCCTATAGGGTTAACAAATTGTTCCAAAGTATATTCCGCTTAATGCTCTTCCAGTCTCCCTCATGGGAATACATAATACATCAACGCAATAAAAACAAAGTGTTCAGAGAGTGGAATGTCTGGCTTACCGTTGATAAGCTGCTTCGCTTCTGCCGACACTGCTCTCCACGCCTCGCCTTCGAACGAGAATTGAGCTTTTCTTATTCGTTGCATGATTTCTGTTGCGGATTCGGTTTTTGACCGAGCATGAAATGGCACTTGACCGGATAACATTGTAAACTAAAGCGTGAAAACAAGGATTTTTGAATGTGGACAGAAACTCATGATCGACGAAAGCTACGCATTAGGAAGAACTCAAATCACCAGAATGACACCAAGCGACCACAGATCGCACTGTTCGTTGTACTCAGGAAGAGTATCGCCAAGATCAAGGACTTCAGGTGCCGCATACTGAAGGGTGAAACAAGGCGTCCTAAATTAGAAGAAGTGAAAACCGATGTAGTACTTGTTTTAGAGAAGAATAAAACGAACATAAAAACAGAAGAGGAAAAACAGAACCTAAAAAACGAAGATTAAAATAGAACAACGCAACCAACCACGGTATCGGAGCGGTTAGTGGAACACATATCCGACTATGAAGCAGAAACTGACTAATTAGCACTGCTGCAGTTGAAGCACAACTTAGTGGCTATTAAGGTACGAAATAAAGACGGTTTGGAAACCACTAAAGACACAAAGAGGAAACATCCCAAAGCTTTTTCTTCTTCTCTTCACCTATAATAACCAAAAAAGTGTCTTAAGTGTCGTCTTCCTCTACACCGCTCCGATCCTTCTACCCACTTCTTTACAACAGCGAAACGATACCATGCCGGGTATGCTCCTAAATAAACACGTTCGGTACTCCGTCGCTATAGAGGAATTACTCATTCACGATCAATAGTAAGCATAGTAAGAAACTAGTTCACCACCCATTCCAAAGGAACTATAACCCCTCATGCAGGAATCCAAAGGAATTTTAAAGCATAAAATTTCATACTGCTGTAAAATATTTTATTGACAAACGCCAACCTCCATTAGGAAAGTAGAAAACGTGAACACAACCAAAAAATCGCCTTCTGTGATTCAATTCAGGCAGAATGGTTGGTTCTTAGTATATTTTGAGTTGCACACACAAGAAAAAAAAGGATATATCGATGGGTTTGCATTCTTACCACCTAACTCCAGTGGTTTTCACATTAGCATTACACTGCAGCTCCATCCGAAAAAAGTAGGGTGGGACGAGGAAGTCACAAAATAGAGTGTAAAATAAAGCGACAGCAAACAAACAAAAAGCTTTGTTACGCGTGGGCGGAGCACAGAACGTGTGTTAAAATGCGATACGATTACAACAGCATGTGGTAGTGGGTGGGCTGGCATCGCGTACATTTTCCGATAGACTGACTTCAGCTGCTGCTCCACACAAGCCGGTAACAAACGCGCAAAGCCGAAGTCGACGAGTCGGAGCTGCGCAGTCGAGTCCTCGCTCTCGAACAGGATGTTCTGCAAAGAAAAGAACAAATGCCGCAAAAACCACGACAATACTATGTGACGTCATAAGTTTCGTCATAAAAAAAACCCGAAACAACGTCTCTAATAACCCCACGACACCAATAATGATGAACGCCTTTCAAAAATTTGAGTCTAAAAGACGAACGCTTCACTCCCATATTAAGTCGGCCCCTTCTCCTAGATTTATTTTTTTGATCTGGGAGGGTTTAACTGGTTAACCCACGTGAACAACATAAAGGTAGTCTGACACATTATAAAACGGTGAGCGGCTTTTAATAACGTGGCCTTTGTAGATTTTGTAGATCTTCCGTGACCTACACGATATCGGCAACTATCGCCCAATCTGCCTGCTGTCTGTCGTCTATTAACCTTCCACTTGAGTCATCCTAAACAGGATTGACAGAACACTGGACGAAGGACAGCCATGTGAGCAAGCAGGGTTTCGAAAAGGATTTAGTACAATGGACTACATCTACACGATAACAAGGCTCACTGAAGTACCGCGAGAGTACAAAAGACCACTCTGTCTCACTTTCATCGATTTACAGAAGGCTTTTGATTCAATTGAGATAGAAGCAGTCATGATAGCCCTTGATAGTCAAGGAGTCCCTACTCAACACACAAAAATTTTTCGTGAGTTGTACAAAAATTTCACAACCAACATATCACCATTTTGCTACGATATTAACATCGACGTCAAAAGAGGGATTAGGCAAGGCAATACCAATATCAGCGCCGGGGATGTAGTGAAGGGAACAAGGAACACCCAACTCCGCGCCCACCTTTTCGACTCCACGATACTCCTGCCTTTACGTATGGCACTGAAACCTAGTCGCTGCGTAAGCAGTATGAATGATCACTTAGCCTTATTGAACGCACAATCGAAAGGACGAAGCTAGGAGCATCCCTTGTCGCACAAGTAAGGAAAGAGATCCGAAGCTCCGAGTCAACGATCGTCAGCCAAAGAGCCGTTATTAACCCAAAATAGTTGAAGATAGAGTAGGCCGGAGACATAATGCGTTTTCATAATGATGCTGAGATAGACTATGAATAGGGCGAAGTCACTGGAACGTTAGCCCGTTAGCCGTTGAATCACAACAACAACTGGTACCAATCTCGCATCAGCTCATCAAGGGGTACGTAAGATGACGCTTTGGTTTGGGGGAGAGGGGGGGAGGGGGGTTAGCGGTATGGTAGTGCCTGAAGCCATTCAGTATGCGTAAGGTCGTCTTTCAACCCCGTCCCGGGCCAGCCAAGCCTATCATCCTTTCAAGGTCGGCAAACTGTTTTCGATTTTGTCGGAGATCAGCTTACTCCCATCAATATACAGAAACTGGCAAATAAATGTGATGAATATTTGAGAATGTCCTAGCATGACTATCTCAGAATTTCATGAGATACGGAAGTGAGGAAAGGAATAGGTTGTAAGAAATTTGGGATCTGCACAATATGTGCGTGTAAAGAAAATATCTTAACACCTAAGGTGATCTGATATGAGGCCAATATACTACCAAGGTACCACGAGTTCCACCTAGACTTCATCGAAGCATATCTGAGGCACTCAAATTCATTGGCTTTAGTAATTTTCTTCGTATTTTTATTGAGCAAACGCGAGGTGTTATTATTCTTTGTTCACGATTAAGCTGACGTTTCGGCGGATTTCGCCTTCCTCAGAGCCTGGAAAGGTCAAGTTGATAGCAATCTACTCGGCCAGACGCCTCCATAACCAAACAAAGAAACTCCAAAACCAAGATTTCAATCACTTTGAACACAGCTTTGCACACTCACCGCTTCCTATGAGTCTTCCACTGAGTATGTCGTGTGAAGAGCAACCGCACAGAACTCACATGGAAGCGTAATGTGCACCTCCCATCAAGAAATAACAGGTTTATATGCTGCCCTATATCACGCGTGATAATGAGGCATTCTTCCCTGCGGTTCATTTTCGGATTTCTGGAATTAATCCAGAGTGCCT